ACATTGAAAATATAAATATAAGGGCTTTTTGTTGCTTTGTCTTCTGTAAAGGCGATTGCACATTATGAACAAGCAGCAGACTACTACAAAGGAGAAGAGTCGAACAGGTACTGTTCCCTTTACTAGTGTAAAATATTGGATTTTGTCCGTTGTTTTTTTTGTTTTGTTTTTGTTTGTTTTTCAGCTCTGAGTTCAGAAATTAAAGCAAAAAGTAATTTCAGGTTTCAGAGATATGTGTGCACCCTCATTGAAGCTGTAAAGGTCTACAATAGTCGGCCACAACATTAAACCACCAGCCCTCACAACTTCAGCACAGCTCTAACCCATCAGGGCATGGACACAGGCTTCTGGAGATGTTCTCTAGTGTCTGGTGCTGGGATGCTGACAGGTTGAGGGTTAAATCCTTCTTAGATTGAGAACTAGCTGAGTTTAGAACAGGGATTTCAAACTCATCTTACATCTTATGTACATTAACTGCACATTTAATCCTTGAAATATCTTAATGCAAGAAAAAGAAGTGCAATCTCTCTAATATGTCCCAGGTTTTCTTCACAATAAGGAAGTGTGTCTGTAGTAATTGAAAGAAATCAGTCAGCATGACTCTTTGAGCTTCAATTGTGAGAAATGAATGTATAAAATAATAGAAAAAGCTATATTTTATTTATTTGTGTTTTTCTTTTCTTTCAACTTATAAAAAAGGTAACGTTTTGTCTTTTAATTGCTTATCTGTTACTTTATTACTGTAGTATGAATGGGTATGGGGGAGGTCTTTATTATTAGGAAACACTGTAAAATTCATGAAAGTACAGATAAAAGTTGAAAATCTATGCCCTCCTTCACATTTTCCAAAGATGTCCAGTTTTTGAGTCTTTGCAAGACCAATTCAGGCTCGTGGGCTTCATGTGTCACACCGCTGGTTTAGAAGATGGGTCGGTTGTTTTATCGTGAGCCACTAAAGGGATGTTGGTTGCTGCAGAAAGTATTGCAGCATCGACTCTATATAAGAAAATGGACATAGCTGTGAGACTTCGACCATCGGTGATGGGTTTGTTACATTTTTGCCGCTGCTATGTTAGTTTTATGGACAAAAAGGGTGGTGTGCTAAGTTACCAGCTACTCCTAGCAAGCTTTGTTAGCAAGCTACATCTAA